TGCAGGCCGACCCGGCCACGTTCCGCGCGCTCGTGCAGAAGCTCACGGGCGTGGCGCCAGCAGCAGGCGGGACGAGGACAGCGGAGAAGCTGCCGCCGAAGCCGCAGGAGGACGAGGCGGCGGCGGTGACCATCGCTCACGCGCCACCGCCGCCGCCGCCGAGACGGCCGAAGCTGCAGGAGAGGCGGCGCGCGGCGCCGGCCAGGCTGGAGCTGGCGCGGCCGCAGCTGCCGGCGTCGCCGGCGTCGTCGTCGTTCTACTACTACCACCACCACGCTCACGCCCACGCGCACCACCACGGCAGCACCCACGGGCTGATGCACTCGCCGGTGTCGCCCATGGACGCGTACGTGGTGCTGGCGGCGGCGTCCGCGTCGCCGTCGCTGTCGTCGTCGTCGTCCATGACGCCGTCGCCGCACTCGTCGTCGCCGTCGTGCGGCGGGGCGGCGGTGGTGATGATAAGCCGGGAGGAGGAGGAGCGGGAGGAGAAGGCCATCGCGTCCAAGGGCTTCTACCTGCACGCGTCGCCCCGGGGCGACGGCGACCGGCCCAAGCTGCTGCCGCTGTTCCCCGTCCACTCACCCAGGATCAATGAACTCCAGCGAGGCTAGCTAGTCGTCCTAGTCGTGTGTGCTAATTCACCGTCAGTCTCTACATGTATGTTACATGTTATATTTGCGCTAGACTAGAATTAGATGGTGATCCATGGGTGATGCAACGTACGCTTGTTAATTAATTAGCCGGTCTTGTTAGCTAGGCTTTAATTAGTAGATCTCTAATTAATCCTCTACGTACTATTCCCATATCTGAATCTAATCACGCGTGAAGTGTCTCTCCCGTCTCGTGTGGTGGGTCATGTTGTCATGTGTTCCACTAGCAGCTAGCAGGTCAACTTCTGATCCTGGAATTGGAATGGAACCCCCATCGGCTGCATCTGCATGCCATTTGCCCAAAAGCAGCCTGTTCGGTTGGCTGGTTCGTATCGTTGCTGGTTCGTGAAGAAGTACTGCTGGCTGGTCTGTGTGAAAGAAAAATGTTGTTCCGGCTGGAAATTTACGATCGTTTACGACAAGTCACAGCCAAACGAATAGGCTGAAGGTGCATGCGCTTTGCAAGCCAAAGTTGTTTGAAGTTTCTAACGCGCCCCACGTAGCTGATCGATAGGATGCCCCAATGCCATGCCAGCGTACGTCAAGATTATATACCGCCTGTGGGACAAGGACTGGAAGAGGCAAACGTCTTTTACTTTATTTTATTATTGCGTAAGAGGAAGAGGGAATATATAGAGACAGACAATGGGGCAGAGGGACATCTGCACGAACGTTGTCACTAGCGTCATGTGGGGGACCTACCAAATTATCGAGACGAGAGGAATATGTGCGTGTGCGAACTGGGAAGTGGGAGGTAGCCGCCCCCACAGTCACGGGCTCACGGGCGCCATGCCGCCGTGCTGCGCGGGCTGCGGCAGGATGATGGAGAGCTACTCATCATCCACTCATGGCTGCTCCTTTCGTATGCATGAGAATGAGATCATTCCAGGTAAGCATGATGCGCTAAAGAGCCCGTCGCCGTGCTGGCTGGACAAGCAAAAGCGATTTGAATTCGAAGCCGGGAAGCGGGCATGCAACGAAGAGTCATCTTGCCGTCTTGCGTTTCTTGCCACGGTTCCATGGACGAACGACTCCCTCAGTAGACGCGCGCGTCGTCGGGATGGATAGCAGCGCACGTGGAATGCTCGTCTTCCTCCTCTATACCCTATCGTCTTCCACTCTTCCTCCTCTCTCTGTACATAGCTTCCTCCTCCATCGCGCCGTCTCAACCACATCGTCCGGACCTCCCTGCCCGCCGCCTGTCTCTTCCCCCTTTCCCCTTCTCTTTCTTTGATTTTCCTTTCTTCTCTTCTCGGATTTGTCCGATTTGGGGATTAGGGTTTGGTTAGGGTTAGGGTTTTGTTCACTGTTGTTCTTCTCCGTGACTGATTCGCGGGTTAGGTTTCGGCTTTGAGATCCTTTCAAAAAACCGACACCCTTTCTCTTCTCTGTGCTTCACCCGATTAGGGTTAGGGTTCGGTGACCCTCTTCTTTTCTCAGATTCGAATGAATCTACTCTGTTTCTTACCCCTGACATGATCTACATCTAGACAGAGGGTTCCGATAGGCTAGATCTACACCTAGTTAGGCTCTGGTACCATTGTTAGACCTAAAACAGGATCTCTAGGCATAGAACTAGCATGTCTATTTGCTATTGAACAAAACCGTGAGTCCTAGAACATCTGCTAGTGCAATAACAGTAGATAGAACGAGAGAAAGAGAGGGGTGGAGGGTGCAAACCATCGGCTGCCTTGGAGGAAGATGGGCTCGCCATCGCAATGCTTGGCGATAACCCGGTGGCAGTGGAGTAGCGGTGTCGTCCGGGGTCGGTGTAGACTCCGCAGGGCAGCCCGGCGTCGTAGCAATCCTCCGGCGAGATGCAGAGGCGGTGGCGGCGCTTTCCGTCGCTGGCAGCACCCCCTCTGTGATCGGCTAGGGTTTAGAACTGTAGGTGGGGTGGTAGGCGGCTCAGGCGAACCTCGTGACTCGAGCGCCCCGGCCCCCACATCCTATTTATGGCGCTGTGTGACGGGGCCTACCAACCATATTAGGATTGGGCGCCCCTGATCAAGACGCTGATCGAAGGATCCAATAAGCCGTTGGACCCATTGGAGAATCCGAAACCATAACCGCAGGGAGACGCACCGGTGGAGACGCCGCAGGGACCGGGCGAAACAGAACGGAACGTACGATGCCTCCCTCTCAAGTCGTCCCAACCGGATTCCCGTGACAAGTTTGAAGCTGGTTGCCAGCCCAATTACTGACCCGGAACGAACACTAGTGCCTAGTGGTGGTATTAATTCGGAGCTCAGGTGCGTGCGCGTGTATGTCTGTGCGTGCATGCCCAGGCACAATAGCTCATGCGGTCATGCCTGCCGGTCTGGGTCTGGTCTCTGCTGCCCTGGCTCCGAGTAAATGGACGCGCCATCAATAAAACGGCAAAGGCCTGTACCCTGTAGTAGTAAGCAGCATCAGCAATTCAGCACTGCATGCCAAGGTACAGCAGCATGCAGCCAGGGCCGGTCCGCCGACCAGGATCAGAATTCAGAAACCCCAGAGGCGAAGCAAGCGAGATAGATGCTGCTGCGAGGATGGCCTTGGCACTTTGGCAGTTTTGGCACAGGTGATTTTTTTTTTAGTGTAGTCAAAGTGTCAAACAGTCTTAAGCTTGACTGGTTATTATAGAATTTATTTTCATAGATTGATTGGTTATAGAATATTTTCATAGCCAACGTGCTTAGACATATAACTGTATTTTTTCTATAAATTTCATCAAACTTACTCCCTGCATCCCTTTTTAAATATCGTTTTCGCTTCACGAGAAATAACTTTGACTAAATGTATATAAAAGATATTAATATTTATGGTATATAATTAATCTCATTGAATAGATCGTTGAATCTATTTTCATAATAAATTTATTTAGAGATACAAACGTTGCTCAAATTTTATACAAATAAAGTCAAACTTAGCGGCACGTAAACCGTGACGATAGATATTTAGGGAGAGAGGGAATATGAATCTTTGTCTTGATCTGAACTTATATTCTTTTTATTTAAAGATCAGTGACGAGGGGGTATCTATCAAATGCATGGCATGGGCCGGAGCCTGGCGCTGGCCATTGGCAGGCCGGCAGGTGAGCGCTGCTGCCGATGCCCATGCCATGCATGGAGTTGGGCCGAGTTGACCTCGTAAGCAGTTATGGCGTGGGGGCTGTAGCTGCCTAACGATATGGATGGGGGGGTGGTAGCCTCTGGCCTCTGGTATGTAGGGGTACTGCAGCAGCTACCGGGCTATCCTGGCTACTGCTGCTGCTGCAGCAGCTGCGAGCCTGCGACGGCGTAACTGTAAACAGTAAACCAGTTCACGCCTGGCCTCAGTGTTCTTCGCTGTCGAAAGGTGTTGCTGGCATTCTGATAGATACCGCACGCAATGAACACACTGGGCCGGTTTCGAATTTACAGTAAACGCAAAAGAAGTCATAAAATATGTACTCCCAGCAGTGAAAGTTTGTAATTGAGCCCTTGTTTAGTTCTACCCCAAAATCCCAAAAATGTTACAGTATCTATCACATTGAATGTTTACGACCTATGTATGGAACATTAAATATAGACAAAAAAAAAACTAATTGCACAGTTTGGTGGGAAATTGCGAGACGAACGTTTTGAGCCTAATTAGTCCATGTTTGAACACTAATTACCAAATAAAAACGAACGTGCTACAGTAGCCCCAAATTCCTAAATCTAAACACGCGCTGATTCAACTTTGTGTGGTCTCAGCAGCTACGCTACAGTACAGGCTACTCCTGGTCTCCTACAGTATAGCTGCAACAGCTTAAAACTGCCGACCAGTTCACGCCTGGCCTCAGTGGTCTGGTGATCTGGTCTGCTGCAGCTGCAATTGCTTCACAGTGAAGCGCTGCTGATCCTCTGGCAAGGCATCCAATGACCACACTGAGCAGTTTTTAGTTTGAGCACAAGGGAAAGAAGCAATAAAAGACATGCCCTCATGAACAAGATTTGAAACTCTTGGCGCCTAGCAGATTCAGTTTCTTCTTCTCTGACAGTATTTGCAAATTGCAATGATAAATCCCCATGACAACCAGAGAAAACTGCATAAACACTAGGGCATAAGAGAAGCTCCACTGGAATATTGGATTAACTTAACATCTGCTATTTCCTATGATTCTGTCCTATATAACATACAAAGGAACATTTTATTCAGCGCTACAGCTACTGTAGATTACAGCAGATTTTTTTTTATTACAAAGGGTATCCAGGAAAATTTTGTACAGTTTGACTACATGCTCGCTGCTCACTTGGATAAGGCAAAATTCTACTACCAACCCTCTAAGCAAAGGCAAAAGGTCCCTCTTCCAAAATATTGCAGGTCTTTGAAAATGCAATGACCTTAACTGACAGAGGTAATAGACGGCTGAGAATAGAGGCCATTTATGGGGTTCATGAATGGCTGTGGCCGCCTTCGACGTTTTGAAACGACTGTAAATCCCTCTGTATCCTTCAGACCCTTAGGAACCTCCGTGGCTTTCGCTTGTTTATCTGAATCTTTGCGACCAGAAGCATTATTGCCTAAGTTGCTACTCTGTTCATTACTAGCTTCATCTGATCCACTTGGCTTCCTCTCTTGTTCAGCTTGGGCGGAACCTAAACTGTCATGCACTGACTTCACAATGAAACTGAGCAAAATTTGCCTTGCAAGTTCTGTTTTGTATGAATTTCTCACGATGTCTTTCCCTCTGTTTTCCTTTCCTTTACTTGAAACGACTTTCTCAACTTGACCTGCCTTTTCTGCAGCAGGCGTTTCAGCCTTTACTTCATCTGTGGTCTGTGATACAACATCCACATCAGAAATGGTCACAGGATTAGCAGGACTACTGGGTTCTCTGTCAGCCACATCGGACTGTTGCGAAGTTTTTCCAGGCACAAATTCAGCAGCATGAGGATTCATGGTTGTGGGGGAGTTGCTACACCTTACAATAGTGCTCTGGCTGTGCGTGTAACCTTGTTTCCTTTGGAAGGAATGCCCAGTACGATAGTACAAGGTGGACCGAGGACCACGAGGCACTCTAGTATCAATGGCATGAGGGAGAATCTCCATTGCTTGACTTGGTATTGCCTGAAGAACAGCACTGGCATCATATATTGCCACCGTGCTGTATGGGTGGGACATTGATAACAGTGATCCTGGATTGAATGGAGGAGCTGAAGCTGACAGTTTGCTTCCAGATGCTTTCTTAGATGCAGATGGGCCTTCATCACTGTTTCTGTCAGGAGCTATTTCTACATGACTCTCTAAGTCTTGCTGACTTGAAAGAACCTCTTTGCTACTGTCCTCACTTGGCTTTTCTTTCTCTTTTTCTGTAAACTTTCGATCTTCTTCCTCGGATGACAGTGTTAGATCAATATCACGTCCACTACTATCCTTCTCCTTTGCTTCCTTCTTCTCCAAAGTTGGTTTCAATACTGTGCCAGGGGGCGAAACAGCCACATCTTTGTATGATATAAACTTGGAAGCAATGCTGGTTGGCCTGTTAATTCCTGTTGGCTTTGTACGTTGTTCTGGTTTAGTGCTACCATTGCAAGACTTATCTTCAGCAATGCTGGGATCCTCATTCAACTTGTCGGTTTTTAAAAAACTACCAAATGAAAGCTGGCTAGGAGCACTTACAGAATCTTCTTTGTCTCCTTTTGTTTGAGACTGTAAACCAGTCCTATATACAGAACCTGTATGACCATCTTCAAAACGATCAACCATTAATTTCATAAGAGCCGGTTTCCTGCGACTGCTTTTCTTCCTTACATTTGCGGATCTTCCTCTCATACTAGCTGCTTGCCACCCTTCATCCGAATATTCTTCTGGTGATAGAACATCACATTGCTTCTGCTCGTCATGGGCAGCATAATTTTCTTCTAATACAGCAGGAGGATGCACATCCAGTTTTTCTTCTTGAAAACCGTCTTTGCTTGCTTCAAGAGGAGATCCTGAGTCATGCTGGAAATTCTCCTTCTCTTCAACTGATTCACCATGATGAGCTCTGATATTATTCTGCAATTAAATACTATATGTCATGAAAAGGAAAGCAAGAGGCAACAGGTGAAAATAAGAGGCTCACATAACGCTTTGGGCAACAGCAGCACCTTTAAGAGTTTACACAAGAAAGAAGAAAAAAAAAGGGCATACCCAGTGCAGAGAGCTCCCGCTCTGTGCGGGGTCTGCATAGAGCGGGAGCTCTCTAAGAAGAAATGGATAACAAAATTTGGCCCTCAATGCTTCATGGATTATAACATGAGAATGCATAACCTTTTCTTTCAAAAAGGAGAAAGGAAGTTTGAACCCACAGCCACCAGCCCACCACCCCTCCCCTACTACTACACACACCCAGCATGAGAATAATAGTTCCAACCCTGTTGTCATATATCATATACTTTATTTTGTTATGTACTGTACCGCAACCCTCTGCTGATTAAGAGTGGTTGCTTGTAAGGGACTGGTTCTTCTTCTATTTTTTTGATACAAAGATACAGCTCATCTGCATTGTTCGAGACAAAAAAAAAAAAAAAAAGATGTATTCACCTTTGCACGCCTGCACTTCCTTTGCATATCCCTTTCTTTTCTTTCCTGGTCTGGGCTTATGAAGTCAAGAAGATCTGATACACTGGAAAGATAGATGTTTCAATCTAAATTTAAATATTTTAGAAATGAAACTTCTCAGATTATTCGTAGTTTCATACCTAAGATGTCCTTTACTTGCAATAGATGAATCAGGTTTTGGCATGCCTCTTCGAGAGGCCTCTTGTTGTTCTAATGCTTTAGACTCAAAATATTCTAGCCATGCAGCAGCATCCTGCCGCAAAAAATAATGTGTTAATTCAAGAGAACATCGGAGTATATATCCAATATTTTTGTATGCTCTGAGAAAAAGAACCTGAGTTCGGAGGTCATCTTGCCCTAGTTTCTCCTGAAGTATCTGCAAGGTTGTTTGTTCATGTTGCACGCTTAGGGAGTACGCGTCCATCATTGAAAGGGCTATGGCTATGGCATGGTAGCTTGCAGCAGTCTGATTGATTGAAAAAATGCTTGTTAGTTCATAGTAAGTAATTAAATCACAGGACCTAATTCTTTATCATATTATTCAATGAATTATAACTCAGATGTGTGCATGCTCTATGACAAGGATTGTATGCTTATAATATATTTCACTGAACAATACATTAACATTAATAACTTACAAAAAAACTGATACAACAATACAATACTTCATTGAGGAATAGCAACCAGAACAATGTAAGCAATATAGTTTTGAAACCTGGGACACAGAATACTAGATTTTTATATCGAGAAACATGAACATATTTGTAACTGAGACATGACCTTTGAGGTTGAGGAATATAGACATCCGGTGTGGGTGTTGCTGGTTGCTATGAGGTGAGAGCTATATCAAAGTTAGATTGTGCATCAACTGTATGCCTATTAGTGATAATCCTAATATACCAGAGGTGTCTTATATATGTATTGTTATATAAGACATCCATTCAAGCACTGTTATGCAATTCTGGATGAAGAGAAATATTAAAGTGGTGGATTTCTTCTAGTAATGTAGTTTAGACACATTACTACATATATCGAACAGTTGTTTGAGTAAAGATTGGACTTTGATGTACATTGACCATTTCCATGAGAAACCCTGGTCACTATTCTATGTGAAATCCTTTTGACGGGTTCATGGAAATATGTGAGCATGGAATGCCCAAATTTACACCTTAGAAGTTCTTTAGTGTGCAAAGATAATTCAAATGGCTACTATCCTACAACACATTGGAAAAATAAAGAATAGCTTCTTTTACCTGGATGTGATCAGCTCCTAGCAACCTCTTGTTGCACTTCAGGGCTTCATGCAAGTATCGAAGAGCAACATGAACATTTCCCATGCCTTCTTCCATCATAGCCACATTTATGTAGGTGGCAGCTGAATTCGGGTGTGAAAGGCCACACGAAAACTGAAGCAGATATAGCGCGCGGTTGACATACCTTCAGGGTTAAGACACAATTAGGTACAGAAGAAATCTATATAGAACACAAATGATAGAAGTTGGATTACAAGTGTGATAGTCAAAACTTGAAAGTTATCTAGCAAACACGGTCTCCACAGAATCTCTTTTTACATGCGTAGACACAAGTAGTCAAGCACCAGTCACATGCCGTAGGACAAAGCTGTAGGGCTCATTTCAGTATGTATGCTTGCTTAACGCATATGATGGCTAGATATAAACTAGCACCACGGTAGACTGGTTTCAATTGATGCCACCAATTCATGCTTCAACAAAGAAACACCTATAACCACACTTACTTTAGAGCCATTTCAATGTGTTGAAGGCGGTAGTAGAAGACAGATAAATCCCCATAACTCTTCATAGTTTCCGGATGATCAAGACCAAGCTCCCTTTCATTAATATCAAGTGCCTTCTGTTGATATACAGTTGCCTACCAAAAAATAACAAGTAATGAGAATCTAAGATTGCCACATAAGGCTATTAGACAGGTCACAATGTTGTGAAGAAAACAACTGCTAGTTTGATTGATGGAACTGCTATCAACAACAAACTTCACAGCTTGATGTATTCATACTTTGATAGTACTATTGAGTTTTTTTTTAGCAAAAACTGGTTTAAGTAAACTTGCACGTCCATTGGATAGAATACAGTGAACCTTCACCAAATTCTTTGAAGTACCTGATTAAAATCTCCAGTATGATAAAGCACCACAGCAAGAAGGCTGTATGCATTAGCTGTCAGTCGATGGTATGGACCACAAACAGCTATAATTTTGGACAATGCCTTCAGTAAGGAAAAAACACACAAACTTATTTAGTAAATAAATAAATAAATAATTTCGCTAAACAAAATGTGGACATAATTTTAGCACAGCAGTTAATAATGAAAAAGACACAAAAGTTGACCATATGCACCTTTGTTCCATAGCTCACAGCATCATCTAATTTTCCTTTATCCAGTGCCATCTTCGATGATTCCAGCAAGTTTCGGCCATCAATAGATGAATAGACCACATGCTGAAACAGAACACAACAAATAAGCAATGGAATCAATAATTTATCCGAGAGACAGACAATAAGGAGTTTCCTAAGTTTTAGTAATGTACTACCTTGCATACAGGAACAATGCTGACAATGTCAGATTTGTCGAATGGGTTAGGGCTATTCATATCATAATCTCTTGCAACTAACTCCAGTCCAACCTGAGCAACAAACCATATTAGTATGCCTGTTTGGAATAGAGACTATGAATGTTCCCATAATTCACTACAGTACCCATACCTTGCTGCAAAGCCCTCTCAGAATGATAAATTTCCGTAAGTGTGCAAATTCATCTTTCAGTTTCCAGCAGAATCTTTTTGAAAGGAAGCTCTCTACCCATTTCAATCGCAAATTATTGTCAATATGGGCATCTGTGTCAGCACCATTTTCAAGTCTGGGAGATCCAAGTAATATGTTTAGAGTTTCAGCTATAGCTGCAGACATATTTTGCATGTCATCAACAGCAGCAATAACAGCTCGGATGATGTGCTTAAAGGATCTTATAACCATTTCATGAATGCATATAGTCTGGATGTGTGGGAGCTTCTCTGCTAGCTCTACCTGATTAATTTAAAGAAACAATGTCAGATTATTATGCAACTTTGTCCAAATATAGTGGGGGAAAACATTAAAGCATAAAATTTACACCCACCAGACGGCCTAAAGAGGACATATTAAGTCCCCTTGTATGCATGAAATCGGTCATGGTTCTTCCATCCACAGGAGAAAGCTCAAGGGACGCAAAATCAGCCACCTGTGCGAAATGCATTCCAAGGAAAAAATGAATTAAGCACTACAGGAATAAAACATCCCAAGATCATATATGCTGACCAATGACTACTCTAAAAAATATTGAGTAAACTAACTCAACATCAAGTACCATAACAAGAGTTTTTTATAGGGTAATTAAAGAACAAATCAGGACAAGATAACTGAAGTAGCGATGTTGCTACAAGTGAGTCAAAACTTTAAAGAAAGTTACCAAATAGCTAAGACAAGGCTTACCAGCTTTGGGAGTGCAGTATCATCATAGAAATTATGGGCCATCTTTGTGAGCTCATCGAGGGACTGGATCAAGAAATGATAAAATGAGGAAACGAAATAACAAAGGTTAATCAACATGTTCTTGGTGAGCTCTTCTATTCCTACATCACAGACTTTAACACAAGACTTCCTATAAAAGGGAAAAAGTCGTTGAATAAATTGCTTGCTATGTTGACCGAAAGTGAATTTGCATTAAAAACCTCATCAGAACATGAATAAACTTTTCATGTCAGAACGTATCATTGATTGTGTTTGAATGTTCTAAAATAACTGGCTTTCAAATTAGTGAAATGGTTTTCAAAATTCTAAAATAACTCTGTGAACTTGCTTCTTTTTAAAGAACTACGGTATGGGAGGCCCCTATTGTTCTAGATATTAAAAATAGTAGAATAGAAATAATGTACAAGCATTGTTAGAGAGAATTTACAAGCCAATCAGAAGTGTACTTCTAACCATATTAAAACAAAATTTCTAAGAGAGTGAAATTGCGTAATAAAACCACCTTTTCATGAAGGCCAGCTCCCAAACTCTTCAAGCGAGAGAAAGCATCCTCTGACATTAACTCGCTTATATCAGCCCCCTTATTCGTTTCATCAACAGCTATATCTGATACTTGCGTACCATTCATTGACGAGCAGTTACTGTTGCATTCTTCCTTCTCAGAACTGGAGCCTTCAATGTTGCATTCTTTCTTTTTAATTTTCCTTAATTGTTCAAAATGCTTTCCAAGACCTTTGACAGCTAGTTCTTTGTCAGCCTTTGTTGCATTTCCCTTACCATTCTCAGACGCTGGAGAATCCTTTTTCTGCAACTGTTGCAGCCAGGAGGACCCAAGTTCCCATCTGATAATCCTAGAATTTATGCTAGGCATGCTATCCAGCTTTATCAAGCTGTCCTCGAGTATTTTACGTGCCAGTTTCCTTGCGGGGTTACTAGCATGTGACTTTGGGCTAGGGTGCTGATTACCAACAACAGTTTCTGGATGGATAACTCTCGGGAGTGGTATCCTTAGACTGGAAAAAGAAAAAAAGGGAAAAGGTGTTGTTAATAGATTGATGTTGAGTATTTCGGTGAGAAAACTTAATATGTATTAAAGCAACATTTTTCTCTAGGGATGAGCAATCAAGATCACAGAAGCCATTACTAAGCAAGTAAAATTACATGAGAGTACACATCAAACCTGTTAACATTCAAGGCGTTAGAACCTCCATCCGGATGGTCATGTACATCAATGTTCAGCATTCCATCAAAATTATCAGAGATGTCATTTGATTGTTTAACATCATTACTGTCCTTTGCACGTCCAGAAACCTTCACAATTGCCGTATATCCACAATGCTTGACAATCACCACCCCGAGTGTCGAAGAATCCTGGGTGGAAATATATGACAGATATTGGATTTTGATTTTAATCCCCTAAAATGAGAAAGGGTAAAAGTGGAAAGTGCAAGGCATCACCTTAACAACAACATTTTCATCAGAAGTTAAACCTTTCAGAAGATTCCTTTGTGCAATATCCATAGCACCCGTTTGACAGAAGGCAACGCCATCAACCTTGTCCTCCACCTTTGAACTAGCATCAGCCACATCCTTCTTCACCATTATATTCATGTCACCGATACGTTCCTCAAATACGTTTGAACCATGCGTACCACTACGTGGACCCATTGAGTTCATAGACTGATCAATGAGTCGCCTTATTGTTGACGCAGCTCTAAAAATTGATGTATCTACAAACAGATTGTGTAAAAGAAAAGCTTTCCGGTCTCTGATCACCCGTTCTTCCTCAGTTTTGCATGGCATTCTAGCCAAAACAGAAAACTCTCTTGACCACCGTCTGCGGTCATATTTTCCATCACGCCCACAGCCACCCCCATTTCCACCCCAATTCTCATCCTCGACTGGTAGTGCTGGGAACTTTGTGGCGGAGTCAACATATATTGGAGGAATAAGCCATGTGTTTGCACGGAATCCATACGGCAAATTCCCAAACTGTAGATGCAGAAAAGGTTATTCTCACCAAAAGTTCTTGAACTACGTCATCAATTCAATATTTGGAAAATAAAAAACAATGGCAAAGCATATCACTATTATAACCTTGTTGTGTTCCACAAAAGCTTTCATCAACGCCTCATATGCCTGTGGAAAATGAATGATAACTGCCAGTCATATATTTTACCAGGATAGATAAAAACATGAAGTAAAGAGAGCTAAGCACAGAAGATAATGAAGATTTAAGATTCAAGGTTACTAACATTAGCAAATGCATTGCTGAGCTGTTGCAGCAGGTCCACCAGGGAGTGGCTTACGTTGTGGCGCTTCCCTGCCAAGTAGAAACCCTTAACTGAAGCAACTATGTGCAGAAGCTTCCCGTTGCAAACCTTCACCTGGGCACAGATGAACTCCTTAATTGAATAGCTACTGCACCAATGCGAACGAATTCCAATTTTGCTAGTGCATTCAAGTGTGTGCATGAGAACTCACCTCGATTTCGAAGTAATCGCCTTCCTGAGAAGCGCCATTCGCCTCCTTCCTCCTGATAACTGCAGAAACGATGCACGCACCTCGCGTCAGATTAAGAGAGCACAATCATGGGCGTAGTAGGGGAGGATCCTCACAGTGGACGGGCGGGGTGAGATGCGCGAAGGAGAAGAAGTCGTAGAACTCCCCCAGCTTCGGCGGCGGCCGGATGGCGGCCATGTCATGCGCCTCCGATATCGGCGGCGCGGCCTCGCCGCCGCCGACGCCATGGGCCCCGGTCGAGGCGGGTGCGGGAGGGGAGGGCGGTGTCGCGGGGCGCCCGTGCTTGGACGACTTGTGCTTGGCGGCGCCGTCCCGGGGCTTGGCGAACGCGGTGGTGCAGGCGAGGATGTCCAGCAGCCGGCGGACGTGCGCCTCCGCCTGCTCCGCCGTCGCGTACTCCTCTGCAAACAAGCCGTTGGGCTCAATTAGAATCAACAGGCCCAATTGGGTGGTGGTTGTGCAATGCTGAGGTTTGGGCCTTTAGTTGGGACCCAAACCTGCATTTAGAGCCCATGAGATCGCAACTTCATTTCTTGTTGGAAAGGATGATCGTTAGCACATCTCTGATCTCATACAAAGTTATTTCGGACAAATTAAATAAAAAACTGTACTTGTAGTATCCATGCATAATTCAGGGTTTTAGAATAATGGGTAAATTATATTGATAATTAACGCCCTGTTCTTCAGCACTACTTCAGCAGTACTTTTCAGCGAACGAACAGTGTTTTTCTCTCACAACGAATCAACATAAACCAAATTTCAGCGAAACAAACAGGGCCCATGAGATCGCAACTTAACCAATGCTCTCTCAAGAAATTTAGGTCTCTAAACAGCACTGTCTGATACAAGTAATCAGAACGGCTATTGATGACCTGTACAGTGCACAAACCCGAAATTGCATCAAGCTCAGTAAGTCCGTAACAGCGTTCCCGGTCGAGTCGATATAGAAGGTAGGAATAGCACAGATCATTAGTGTGACTTTGGCATGTGACGCACCAGCTCCAGCCTCCAGGTGTACTGTATATAGTAATAATGTCATTGCAGCCTGTCTGAGTGTCTGAACACCTAAAAATACCCGTGGAGTTAACCAAAGAACCCACCGCAGATTCCAAGAGGCGTCGCTTTGTCCCCTACACTCGCGTAAGAGGCAGAATGGGACAAGAACTAGGGCGCCCTTGAGCAAACTACTGCAACTTGGCAGAGCACCAGAGTAGAGAGCGCCATACACTAGTTTCGTTGGAATTGTCGTGGCAGGGGTCCCGTTCCCATCTACCTCGTGCATTCTGCATTCATATATTACCAGCTGGTAGCCTAAAATTCTAACAAATGCTCCAACGGTATCTTGACTTTCACTGTTACATGCATTCTTGGAAAAGACACCTCGCTCCTCGCAGTCGTCAGTTCACAGACATAACCCTCGGTGAGCATACTATGTAATGTAAAGTTTTGTCAGTCAAAAAAGATAACCGTGGTTAAGTGGAGGTGTCGGTGCCAAAGCTGGATTTGGCTTGTTAGGGCGCGTTTGGTATGGCTCCCAACGGATCCGTCTCCTCACTGTAAAAACACTGTAGCGGAACAGTGCGCGGTGTCAGAGGATACGGAGCCGGGGGAATCCCTCGGATTAAACTACAAGCACTAGCAGTAGTGTACTGCTGATCTTTAAGAAGTGAGCGTGATGACTGACGACGACGTCTCGGTCAGACATAGGCACACAGCAATGCAATCACATTCCCCGCCCTGGCTGCGGCGCTTTTGAAAACCAAACGTTAATAGCAACAATGCGGAGCTGTCAAAAACCCCGTTCCTAATTCACCCCCAAGAAATGATACTACGAGTAAAGAAAACCCGTCAGAATCATATCGCGACGACTAGGACCAGGAGCCTGACGGGAGTGCCCATGCCCTATGCCCTATGCCCTATGCCCAGCCAGCGCGACCAACCACCGGCCGGCACTGCACTGCACCGGCGAGTCTTCTCTGCCCCGTCCCACCTCGGATTTTTACCGGGCACAGAGAGCGACCGCGCTGGCCACGTCCCGTGGAAATTCTCGCACGCCGCCGTACGTACGTCCCCCTCCTCATCTTCTCAAATCTCACCCGCCGCGGAACGATCCGCGCGGTGACGCGCCACGGAAAGGGACCGCCGCCAGCAGGGAGGCTAGCCTAGCCTAGCTAGCTGTCTCGCTGTCCACCATTGACGGACGGGAAGAGATGGAATGAACACGCGAGCGCGACCCGTCTGTCCAAGTGAAGTGGCCACGCTGTCCAAGTTAGCTCGCGCGCACGTCCGTCGTGTTTGGATTGTGACTGGCAGGCAGATTCTCGTCCAGGCAACGATCGTGACCCGGACGGACGAAATCCTACGCCTGGGATTGCTTGCCTGGGCAGGCGTTGCCTTGGAGGCTTAATCCAAACAAGCCAGGCCCCACGCTCGACCTGTCGGCTGTCGACCGCTGGATTTGGAACGCGACGTATTGCATCGGGACAAATTCGCGCTGAATTCAGGGGTTTTCAGCCGTCCGTGTCCGTCGATGCGCCTCCCTCTCCCTCCAGGCTCCGGGTGTTGAATGCCGCCGTGCATGGGTGGACCATCTGTTCCGATCGGCCGGTAGCAACTAGCAAACCATGTTCTACCACTACGCAGTCGAACGTGATACCATTACGACCGCCCTCGTGCTGGGTCCGACTGCCTGCTTGGCCTCTACGTATATAGGAGTATAACAGACCAACAGGCGGTGCACTGTGCGCGTGTACTTGCCTGCCTGGACACAGCCAAGTGCGCCGTCCGTCCGTCCGTTCTGCCCTCCCATCGATCCGCCAAGTTGTTTCGTGTACTAGAACGACACTCCGGTGGACCTCACCTCTACGATACGATACCCCCCAGCTACCAGCTCGCTCGCGTTCGGACAATGCAAGGAAGGCTGGAGCGCAGGCTGATGATTGGTGTGAACCTCTCTCCCTCCCAGACCCCAGTATCTATGAGGCCAAATGCAATAATGCATGGATGCATACTCGCAGCAGCGAAAGAGAGAACGGAGAAAAAGAAGAAAGACCGGTGGTGCGTGGTACGTAGCGTGTGGATGCTGTCACCACGTACCTTCGACGATCCGGAGCGTGCAGGGCTTGAGCGCCACCATCTCCACGCCGTCCTCGAGCCGGTGCCCGCGCGCCTGCAATGCGAGACCACCACCATTCAGTCAGCTCACTCAGTTTTCAGCCATTGCTGCTTATCTTATTAGCATTCTTTTTATCCACGAGAATTTCACCAGGGACTACCAACCCCAGGTAAACGAATGGATATGATTTTTTGGTGAGCTGTGTGCCTGTGCCTGAGGTTGAATTTGAGAAGGTACTAGTACCTTTTTTTTTTCTTCTCTGGTCTGGAAATGAAGGTGCGAGTAGTACTTGGCAGTTATAGAGAGAGTGAGCGAGAGGCGAACATTACCACATGGGAGAGTGAATAGCTTGTCAGGTGACACGTTTCCACGTTCGACCCCAGCAGCTTCCGCACGTCCAGCACACGGTCCGTGGATATCCCCTACAAATATCAGTACAACATGAACAAACACACGCGGAGACGGCGTTAACAAAGCGCGCTCGCACGCACACACGGACAGGCTCATCTCTCTGACCAATCAAGTTCACAGCACTCTTGGTTGTTTTGTTTCTCATCAGTGCAACATAACACAATGTATCATACGGGTGTGCAAACTGCAAAGTGTGTTCATCTTGCAGTGCCACCCTGCGCTTTCTCAAAGAGATGTCGAGGCTCTGTTCATCTTTCTTCCTTTTTTCCCCCGCTGTCCTGTCTCTGTTCTTTTTAAGAATTTCAAGTGGCTTTATGTGTGCGCTGAATCAAGTGTGGGAGAAGGAAGGCAGCTGATGATGGAGCCGAGCGGAGCCGAGCCGGCCGGGCGCACATACCTTGAGTGTCACCTGGGATTCGTAGGGGGTGACAACCGTGATGTCCACCACGCTGGGCACCACTGCAGAGGACAAGAAACAAACCAAAGCTTTTATCAACCAGTGTTCTATCTAGGTGAGCACGGGAGCAACAGTGTCTCCCAACAGCAACCGCGCATGAAACGAGGGGGACGGCAGCGCAATTCACTCCGCTCTTGCAAACCGCGTGACCCAACCGCACGGCCGGGGAACGTTGCACTCACAAGTCCACAACAGAAAATAAAGAGCTGCCTCCTAGTAGTACTAGCTGCTTAATACTATCCTGCTTAATTCTGAATATATGGAGCTCATGGAGGAGCTAGCAAGGACAAGGAGTAGTAGTCATGGCAAGAACACCAAGCTCCAAGGAAAAAGACAGGGTCGTCGTTCATCAGAGACGAACGAAATCCCCCTGGTTCAGTACGGAGGAAGCCAGCGAATAAAGAAAAAGGACTCGCGGCAATCTTCTTCTTTAGCTTTTCTTTTCATTCACATGCAAAGGAGCCAAAACTAGAATCACGCAGGTGCTACTGCGATGCTCGTCAATGTTGTCAAGAACAACGAGCCGCTCTGCGCTGTGTTGATGGCAAGGGCTCGCGACGCCGCGGCATGCGCATACATACAACGGAGAAGGAGCAAACGCTTCGCCAGAGTGAGGAGTTTGAGTAGGACTGCACGAGCGCAGATATGGATATACCTTTCTCTTCCTTCTTCCTCTTGTCGCCTTTGCCGCCGCCGCCCCTGCCCTTGCCGCGGCCGGCCTTGGGGGCCATTGGCTAGCTGGCTGCTGCGTCGCGCGCCCAAGCAGCGACGTACGACGATGGCCGTCAAGCGCGGCGCGAATGGAGCGCCGGCAGCCGGCGGCCCGAAGGTTTAAGCCGCCGCAGTTCCCGCAGCAGAAGAGGGAGGAGGAGGCGGAGGAGAGGAGAGGAGAGGAGGCGAGCGAGAAGAGAAGAGAAGGAATGAGGAGGGAGGGGGGCGCGCGAGGGAGGAGAGGATATAGGATGTGAGGCCGGCGTGGGATCTCTCAGATTTGAGCGCCATCCTGGCCTCTCGTTCCGGCGCGCCGGTAGCGTCCGATGCGAGGGCCACGTTGCCAGCCGCCGCGACGAGGACGCTTTTTGTGTCGTGGCCTCATCGACGGCTGAGGTTGGTTTGATCCCCCCTCGGCCCTCACGGCACAATTACAAAACGCTGGTAGTAGCAGTAGCAGCTGAAACGGAGACGGAAAGAGGCAGGAGACGTGGGCGCGACATCTCACGTCCGCGTCGAGGCAAGCTCGAAGCCGGGTGCTCGCGACGAACACGTACCAGCTGTACTGTACTGGAGCTGGACGACAGCTCGCTCCGCGACCAACTCGTGCACGTAAACGAGGCGGGGCATGAGGGGCGGGCAAGGGCAAGGGCACAGCTGTGTTTGTGTGTGTGGCCGCGAGGTGGAGAAGAGACGGAACGCGAGAGGGCCGGACCGCGGACGGGTGGCGCGAGGCTGGTGCGGGCGTGCGGCCAGATGGTTTGGCTGGGCCGGGGTCGCGCTCGCGGCTCGGCACGGCCAGACCAGGTCAGGGCAGGCCGCCAGGGGCCGGAGCCGTTTTATTGGGCGTCCCGAGGAGCCAGTTTTTGACGCTAGCCTCACCTATCGCCATGCCTTGCCAGGGTTTGTTTGTCGTGTGCTAGCAGCACTGTACGCACGCGCTGCCCCGCCCGTGGCCCGTGGGGGTGGGGCATGTGTACGTACGTCTGGCGCGGCAACTAGGGCGTGGTGACTGGATCCCGGCGCGATTCCGTGCACGAGAAAGGTGCGGCCAATTCTTTTTCCAAGCTTGCTTGCAGCGCCAATCGAGCTAGCACACTAGCAGCACCACGGCACCACCTTCTCTCCGTCGTCTCCGGTCAATGGGGACGGACGGCAGATACATATCTGGGCCACATGATTTGCATGTCGACGGGGGGAGCACACACGTGAGCTCACTGCTCTTTCTACTGTAGCAGCATACTCCTACGTTATTGTCGGGTTTGATGACCGATAACTCGTCACGAGGTTATCCGGGATGATGTTCGAAGGGCTTCGGCGACGCAGAACTCGACAGTAAATGCAAAGAGACGAACGATTTATACTGGTTCGAGCCCTCTTGTCGAGTAATAGCCTTTACATCCAGTCGGCGTGTAGCCTTTTGCGTTGGAGTGATTGTATGATTGTTAAGGTTATAAGGGGGTACGCCATCCCTCTCTTTATACAGAGGAGAGGGTAACGACGTATCTAGTCCTAGTCGGTTACAAGAGAAGGGTCCTAGTTCTATTACAGAATCTAGCTTTTATAATAAACCGTTCATCCAGCATGGGTTAGGGTTGCCAGCTTGTCCGTTTCTACACAGGTTTTTGCATTACTACGGCATAACCCTGAATCATTTGAACCCTAACTCCATCCTGCATCTCTCAATTTTTGTTCATCTTTGTGAAACTTTCCTTGGCATTCCTCCGTCCATCACTCTTTTCCGCTATTTTTTCAAACTGAAACCGCACCTGGACGCCGCAAACCTCAGCGTTTTGGGTGGCGCCGGTATTCAGGTTCGAGTGGGGAAGAAGAAAGAGTATCTCCACTATACCCTTGTTGATTCTATAAAGAATTGGAGGACCAAGTGGTTTTATACGGGGAATATGTGGCCACCGCTAGAGATCCATAGCAATGCCGCACCAGTGCCCAATGCCCGCTGGGAGAAGGAGCCAATGAGCATGACGGAGCTTGACGGAATTCGCCCGTTCCTCAAGCAACTCTCGGCCATGAAGGATCAAGGCCAGAACGGAGTTGGGGTAGTCGCTAGCTTTATCAGGCGTCGAGTACAACCGCTGCAGGAGAGGGTGCACTATGGCTTTGAGTACACCGGGCCACAGGATCCATCACGGGTGACAATTGAGGAGTTGACAGAGGATGAAGTCCTGGAGAGGATTCGGGATATACTCCAGGCAGTATTGGTAATACCATACCAGTATCCTGAATTGGACCATAAAAATCCACCTGCTGCTGTAAGTATTCTGACCTTTATAATTTTGCAATGTCTTGATATTGTGGGGACTAACTCTTGTAGATTAATAACTGTTGGCACAGCACTTGGGTCGCAACTTCAATGACCTACCCGCCCTACCTCCGCATCCCGGCTTTGGAGGAGTTGGCGGAAGCGGAGCGGGGTCCGGCGGAGCAGGTGGAGGGAGCGCCGCCTCCGCCATCCCTGTGGAGCAAGAGGGTGACAGCGACTCAAGAAACCCGGACGATTTCATGGTCCAAGTTGATCCGAGTGCTGGGGAGGTAGCCGCGAGCGGGAAGCGGTCCCTAGAGAACGACGTCGCCGCTAGCGCAAGTGGGCCGGTACCAAAGAGGCCCCGTCGGTCTTGTACACTGAGACTAGGTAAAAGATATCTGAATTATCTTCGTGTGGTCTGAATTGTACCTTGTGTTTAATCCAAGTTATGAATAGTTACTGCAGATGAGGCTGTTGAGGAACAGTCAGAAGAGGAGGAGGAAGACACCTCGTTTTCCATCCGATAGTAAGTATTTTTCCGAGTAAAATTCAGTTACTGAAGTCTGTCATAGATGTATTTAGTGACGTTGAACTGCTCTTGGTAGGATGCTGCTACCAGATCTGTTAAGCACCCGAGTGCTAACTCAGGGTGACGGAATCACACTTGGATAGGATGCTAGTACTGCGAGTCACCCAGAGGACTCAGTACTGTCAGCATCAGTGTCGAGTCTATGGCTAGGTCGATCGCTTAGTGGGATGTCGCTAGGCAAGCCCACCCTAAAAAAGAGATCCAGTGCCAAGTAAGTGTCAAAAAATTCCTCTGTATGTTACTTTTGTTCTTAGTACATCACTTGTCTGCCGCTCATTTTAGGGTACAAAAGGCACTGAGTACCCGGGCACAGAGTGAGGAGCCCCGGGTTGAAGAGAACCCGTGAACTGAGGGTGACCGAGTGAAAAAAAGCCAGGTAAGCGAGCTTGTGTCTCCACCCGGGTCTATTGAAACGCCTTGGGCGTAGGGTCCGACGTCTGCTGTTGGTGAAGCAGAACAACCTACGCAACCGGGTACTGTAGAGAGGGTGGAGGTGCCCCAGCCAAAGGTAGCGGCGCCTGTTGGAGATGAAGCACACCAGCCGCCAGGGCCGGAGCTTGCGAAGGCTACTTCTGATGAGGGAGTGTAGAGCACAAGGGATGACCCAACCGCTGTTGCACCAAGTACTCTTGCTCCAGATGCACCGACGACAAGTGCCCAGCAAGCGGAGGAGGGTGACGTCATTCCAGTTATAGGAGCGGGTACCTAGCTCCAGATGTATAGCCCAGGGTTTGTCGGGTTGTTGAGGTTGTGGTCCGGGCTGCTAGACCAAGCTTTTGCCTTCGATGGCCAGTTGAGGGTAAGTAAACACATTTGTCATTTCCTGCTATAAATAACTTTCAAATTCTTATTCCGAGAACAGTCGTATGCTCAGGGCGTGGAGCTAAAGACTTCTGCCGAGGTCCAAAAGATCCAAGCAGAGCTCACCAGGCTGAAGGAGGAGCAGACCCAGAAGGAGGCCGAGTGAGAATCTGCGCAGAAGCGCCATGAAGAAGCCCTCTGTATCCTCTGTTCTCAGATCGGTGAAGCTGAGCGCCAAAAAACAACCACTGAAATAAGAAAAAGAGATGCCTTTGACTCTTTGTTGAAGATGACGGAGAAGGCCGAGCTCTTTGATACCAAGCTAAAAGGTAAAAGAACTGTACGACTTCTCTGTAGTTCATGACACGTAGTAGTCGGTGATCATAATGATGATCATTTATGGTCCTTTTGCAGAAGAGCAGATCAAAACCTGGTCGTTGGAAGGCGAGGTGAAGGAGCTGACTAAAGCTCTGAGAACCAAGCACAACCAAACTAAAGAGCTAACTGAACGAGCAAGTCAAGAACTCCGCTCGAGCTAAGCTGATAAAGCGAGGGGCTAATCATGATCTGATGCAGGCTCTAAAGTCAGTGAATGACATGAAGGCTCAGCTGGAGAGAGCGTAGTCGGAGCGGAACATGCTTTAGGAAGTTGTGAAGCCACTCGCCCTCCTCTTCTGTAAGCTAGAAGATAATGAAAAGAGGTGGGTAGATATAGTAAAAGATATCCCCAACCACTTTGAAAGCTATGTGCGCGGAGCCACCAAGGTCTGTGTCCGGAATGTACTCGGTACGCTCCGAGTGCTATACTCGGCTGTCGATCTCCAGCGGATAACCACAGACTTTGACAACGTGGGCCATCTTGTTGCCTGGAGAGAGCTGAGGAGGAACTCTACGGACTCGCCACCACCATAACTGATGAACTAGACCTTAGGATGTAGAAGCCTGATGAATAGGCTGTGTAAGTTTGAAAAAACTTGTTGAGCACATGTGCCGGGTAGGAACGTTGTAAGGAACAATGTTCTTTTGCTTGTGTAAGCTTGTTTGTTTAATCACAAAACTTACACCCTGTTCGCTTGATCATTTCTGTGGCTTATAAGCTGGCTGATGTTGTTTTATTGTAAGAGAAAAACACTGTATCATGGCTGATACGATCAAGCGAACAGGGGTGTTAGCCTATATGCTGTGAATATGATCCATCTTGTTTGGTACTTAAGCACCTAAGACGGGTTTTTCAAATCATTTAGACTTGGGAATCTTTCAAGTAAGACTGTAGTCTGTTTAGGCTGTAAATTTGTCTTGTCGAGTCCTTTAAAAAGACGTGTACGACTGAGTAGCCTAGTAAAAAGGTGATCAATGTAGTCGCTATG